GAAAGGCAATATGACTTCAATTTTGATTAATGACTATGACACACAATTTGAGATGTCGGGGGTATGAGAGGAAGTGAAAGAGCAGACTAACTCCTATTGGCATCGCAAGGACGAGTAGGAGAAATTGAGGAAGATCCAATGAACATGCGGATCTGGGATGATACAACCTACGACTAGGGACTGTGAATGGATTAAGACAGGATTACCAAGAGTTCGAGGAGCTAGGAGGACCATGCTATGCATGGGATGATGGAAGTACCTCTCATGTTCAGGGGCCTAGTCGAAAGTATCCTCTCGAGGCTAAGCACAAGAACTTGATGTTTGAGGTCATGTCTTGGGCCATTTGGAAACTTGGTGATAGTTATTTTTGTGGGCTTATTAATGTTGAAATGGTACAATAACTCGTCAAAATGGGAACTATCCTTAGACATGGATGAGAAGTTTGAGCTTGACCTTCATTTTCCCTACACAGTAATAGGTTGTCCTATTCATTCATGGTGCGCGTAATCATCTGCTAATATTTAGTAGCTTTCACAAGTTTTATGTTGGCGAACTAATATGCTGGTAGGTAGGCATATGATACCAATCAAAATACTTTTCAATGGAATCTAAACAATTAAGAAAGGCTTTTGGTCTAGTTCGCCTTCCAATTTGAGGAGCATCTACCTTAAATTTCTCTAATCATGCCATAAATATGGTCACTATGATGATGATGACACGAGGGAGTTCGATTGGAGATGCATTATTAACAAATGAATTAAGACGTTCTAGATTGTTGATATGGTGTCTAGATCAATGTTGTGTAGGTGATGTTGTATTCCTATGAGCATAATAGAGAGGATCGTGTAAATTTTAACCTACAGTAGAGGATTGAGACAGCTCATCCATGGAACGTTTACTCGGGCTTCGAGATGATTGCTTGATCTGTTCATTTAGGTGGTGGATGAAAAGTTTAAGCTAAACTAAGTTAGATTCAGTTGAGAGATTGGCAACCATTACGAAAGGGCAC